GAATGAGCATTATCCCATCCCTTGAAGGATGTTCCATTCACCTCAAGACAAAAGTCCAGAAGTTGCATCAAAGAGCACCCATGCATGTGACAAAGTGCCAGTCCAAAGGAGGGGCTGAGGAGAGCTGAATGGAATGGCTGTCTACAAAGCTGAAGTAGATCAAGGTGCTCAGAGGGTGATGAAGCACTCCAGGACAGCAACATCGAGAAGTCTCTGCTTCCCCCAGCTCCCAGCGGTCCCATAGCAGAAAGCAGCAGAGGGACGTGGGAACACCAAGAGTCAGAGCTGCAAGGAGGGCTGCCCCTGTGGGACCTGATAGACATCCAGAGGAAGGAACCCAGTGTCAACCCCACCAGCCCAGGAGCAGTTTACAGAAATCAGATAACTGAAAGTATGGCCAAGATTTGTGAGTGGTTGGCTCTGCAGCTGTCCTCATTTCTATGCTACAACACAGTAATTAGAAAATAAAAAATCACTTTTGAGAATATACACTCATTTTGGTTTCACCATTGTAGTTGTTAATTATTTTGAGTATCCTTCCTGGAAAGCCCGTAATACCGCCTCACCCTTGGTGACCTCAGGGCCTGCTGGCAGGACTAAAACCCGAGAAAACTTACAAAGATTTTTGTTGAGCAATAACATTAGGGGCCAGTGTTGTGGTACAGCAGGTAAAATTACTGCCTGGAACACTGGCATTCCATTGGGTGCAGCCTCCTTCAGGACCCTGACCTCACCTGACTTCTGACCTCCAGCACCGCCTAAGCTTAAAAATCTGTTATTTTGGAGTAGATTCAAGGAGACTTGTGGAGTCCTCCTGGACAGAGAGATGTGGTGAAGGGGAAGCTACGCTCCACATGACACTAGAGGAAGGGCAGAGTGGAGAAGCCTGTCTGAAATGTCTAAGCCCTTGGCACAGGTGGAAGATGCAAGTGAGGGCAGGCAGTGAGGTTGCCACAGGCATGTAGGGGTGAGACTGAAAGGGGAGCCTGGGCTTTCACCCAGAAGCATGCAGAGCACCCTCTATCCCTGATGAGATCACTGGAGAAAGGCTTGCATTTCTGCATTCCAGTCTGCAAAGTGCATTCATTCTTGCACATTCAACGCTTTGTACTATCCTTGTCCACATGCAGGTGCAAGGAAATCCAAGTGCAAAGAAACAGTCATGACACAATTGAGGAAATGGCACTGCTGAGTGATGCAATTAAGAAAATATAAAACACTGACTTAGTGAGAGTTCAACATGAATGTGTTTAGGAAGAGTTCTTATTTTTTGAAGAATAAACATCATTGCTTATAGACAAAGAGCTATTGTGCCTGGCACTTGCTTCCACAAGTTGGTTGAGGGGGAGTAGCTGGGAATTGGTAGGAGGTTCTCACATCTCCTGTTACAGATTGCTACACAGTGGTGACTGAGACAAGGCCAGAGGACTGAGGAAAAGGTATCCACGGAGTCTTGCTCCTCTGGAAGCGAGGGAAGACTGCTGTTTACCTGCATTCTGTGGCTCCTGTGTCTGTGGCCCCTTACGGTAAGCTCTGCCTCTGACTTCCACCTCCTCACTCTGCCTATTGGGGTCCTCCCTTCTTTATAATGAGAACATGCATCCTAAGTCCAGAGTCTCCCTGGATAATTCAGATCATCTCCCTTGGCATTCCATAAGGAAATTACATTTGTAGGAACTCATTTCTCAAATGAAATTGCAGTCACAGGATCCAGGGGTTTGGGCATGAACCCATATTCTAGAGGTCCACTGATTGTGCTCACCCATGAAATAAGTGGAAAAACAGTGTTGTTGATTGCTGAATCGGGGTCATGGGTAGTTTGGGCTTTTCTGTACTATTCTTTTATGGATTTAAAATTTCCCATTATAGAAATGGAAGCCATTAAGGGGCTCCAAGCATCATGGGAAATGTACATCATAAAAAAAATTGCCAAATATTTTTTCTTTTACAATATACACTTCTTATTTTTCTTTGAAAAGGAAGAGAGAGAGAATGATTCAGAATGAAAGTTTCTCCCATCTACTAGCTCACCCCACAAATGCTCATATGGTTGTGATGGATTAGGCTGGAGCTAGAAGTCTGGAACTCAGTCAGGTCTCCTGTCTGAGCCATCACCTGCTGCTCCCAGAAGTGCCTTAGCAGGAAGCTAGAATCAGGAATGGAGCAGATACAATAGAGAATATCAAAGGCAAGCATCCGACATAACATCTTAACTACTAGGGCAAATTTCTGTCCCGAAGCTTAGCCTTTAGTTCTTTTTTTCTCACCATCTTTTCAAGCATGCACATAGCTTGTTGATTGAGCTCTATAGTAGTAAACCTTAGTGTGGGATTATGGGAACTAAAACAACATGAAGGTTCTGTGCCTAGGAACTCAGACTCTGAGGCAAACTGATGCTAAGCCTTAATGTTAGATATCTGAGGAGGTAGATATTCTAGTCCAAGCCAGGCATTTTGTGTGAATATATAAATGATTCAAAATATCGCAAGGATTCCATAAACCTGTATATTTTACATGTCAATTATAAAGTATGTGATGTCAAAGTAATATAAGGGAAGTAAAAATTGAGCAAATATAGTGGTGCCCTCAGGAAAAATGTTCCAGTTAGTACAAACAACAGTGCAAAGGTCACAGATTAAGAAGGTAAACTTGAATGTGACAGACAGGGAAAGTGTGCAAATAGAGTTTGTAAATTAGCAGATGAAACACAGGACCCCCCAGGTAAATGTGAATTTCAGGCAAATAATAATTTTTAGTATAAAAATAGTCCACACTCTTACATTAAGGGTTATGAGTTATTTGTCTGAAGTTCACATTTGTCTCGAAGCATTCCAGAGAGCTGTCAGCTCAATCCTCACATATGTCAACCCAGGCTAATATCACCACTGGGGGTTCAAGCCTTTTGATTCTGGCGTGGAAACCTCACAGGTTCCTGAAAAGGCCAGTCTCAGATCAAATTCTACCTGGAGGTTTTTGTTTAAACCTCTTATCAGCCTTCAAATGGAGCATTAATAATTTGTTTTCTGTTAGGGGGATAGCCTTAGCCTTTTCCTTCTAACATTATGGAAATTTGGGACCACTTAACAGTATGGGAGTGGCTTTTCCCTAACTGGACTCTACTCCCTTCTAAGAAAAGGAGACATTTGAACAAATAAATAACTGATAAGCAGGTCAGTAACTTGCATTGGATTGTCCAGCACAGAGGGTGGCAGTCTTGATCAAGGTAAGAAATGATCTGATAAATCTTTCTGCCTGCTTCATATCCTGCTCTCCAAGTACCAAGAAAATGATTTTTAAAATGTGTCCATTGGCAAGGAAAATCATTTACTGGCATCATACTTTCTTGATGTGTGTAGATGATGGTTCAAGATTGCTTCCTTCCCTGGTCTCTGTTGGATATATCTTTACAGAATGTGAAAGTGAGGGATTTAGAAAACCAGAGCATGAGGCATTAATAATATGTAAAAAAAAAAAGAAACAAAAGAAATGGTAACACTCTAGACTAACTTAGAATATAACCAGAGCAAGATGGAAATGAGTGTTTATGCCAGAGTTATTTTCTTTCTAGTATTCAAGAGGCAATTGAATTGTGATATTGTACTATTGCATATGTTGTGAAAATTCAAAATTAAGACATATTGTAATAAGAATAATTTAGTCTGTCAGGAGAGCTATATGGGAATTTAATCTTTGCTGCTCACCAGAGATTATAACTCCAACTCTGTCCCTGGGGTTTGGCTGTCTCATGGCAGAGCTGGAAAGTGACCAAGGCAAGTCTCCTGCCCTCAGCACTGCTTGCCTTGCCTTATGTTGCCTTACTTTGCCTTGTCTCAGGGTAACCCCTTGTATGAGGGTTATCCTGTCTGTTGTAGGACATTTAGAGGCATCCTTTTGATCAAGTCACCCCAAACTAGCACTAACCCTCATCCCCCCACATTATGAACACCCAGAGTTTCTTGAGACATTGCTAAACAGCCCTTGGAGCAGGAGAGGAGAATCACCCTTGGTTGATAATCACTGGACCACAGGACATCTCACTCACTTACAACTGAAGGTAGATAATCACTGGAGCACAAACTAGCTTTCAACGAGCACTCAGAGTCACCTAGCATCATCAGAATAGGAGTCAGCAGTGCCCAGAGGGAATGGTAACCTTTATGAGAATGTCCGGTATGTGTCAGATATTGAGTAATGTTCACTTCATTTCTTCTCTTCTGGATTATGTGCACCTAGTTATAGTACTTCAAAAGAAGCAAGGAGTTGGCCTCTTCTACCTGGAAGGAATTTGGATCGCTGAGCTACAGTTAACTGTCTGTAGGCAAATTTCTGTTTTTTATCAAATGCAGCCCAAAGGTTAAAATATTGAAAAAGAGAAGAGCCCTCCTAGGCCTCTCCATCAGCAATGGCCTGTGGTTTCAAGGCCCCCAAAAGGATTCCCAGGGACTTCACTTGTGTGTGTGTGTGTGTGTGTGTGTGTGTGTGTGTGTGTGTGTGTGTGTGCTGGGCTCTTTCATTGTTAGACCTGGTTTGAATATTCAAATCTGCTGTCAGCCTGAGTATAACTGCACATTGCTATTAACTGTATTGCTACCAAGTTTCATTAATCAAAAAGTGCAGGCACTAACACCTAGTTCATGCAGCTATTGTGGAGAGTAAAAATAGTAAAAATAGCAGAATGACATACCAAAGGAAGTAGGGCAAGATATTTGACAATCTCCAACAAACATTAGTTTTCCAGTTTTTCCTGCCAAGTATACTTGCACACACGTTATTACCATGGCCTCTCATCTATCATCTTGCCAAGTACAGTCACACGTAGCCAATGGGGACATGAGACGGTTGGGTTCCATAAGACGGTGTCTTTGAATGGCTAATGATTTGAGCCTGTCACAAATAATGAAGAGGCTTTTTTAGAATTGTTAGTATTGTTCAGCCCTAGAAAAAAAAATGCATTTTTGGTTCCTTGGTTTCATTCATTTCTTCATGTTTAGGAGCAGGAGGCTGCTGTCATGGCAGGGAGACCTGTACTTTACTACTACAATGCCCGGGGCAGAATGGAGTCCATCCGGTGGCTCCTGGCTGCAGCTGGAGTAGAGGTGAGTCCACAGTTAATGTCATTCATAAAGTGATTGCATCGGATACCATTCTCATGTCAGTGAGGAGATATGCATGATTCAAAAATCAAAACTGGACCTGGCACGGTAGCCTAGTGGCTGAAATCGTTCCTCAACTTGCACGTCCCAGGACCCCATATGGGCACTGGTTCTAATCTTGGCAGCCCCGCTTCCCATCCAGCTCCCTGCTTGTGGTCTGGGAGAGCAGTTGAGGATGGCCCAAATCCTTGAGTCGCTGCACCCATGTGGGAGACCCAGCAGAGGCTCCTGGCTTCAGATTGGCGCAGCTCTGGCCATTGCAGCTGCTTGGGGAGTGAATCAACCAATGGAAGATCTTCCTCTCTGTCTCTCCTCTTTTCTGTATAGTTGATTTTTCAATAAAAATTTTTAAAATCTTAAGAGAAGATCAAAACTGTCAGCTGTGAAGAAAAGGACTAATACATTTAACTTAGTGAGTTGATAAGATTTCTTCCTTCAAAGAGGGAAACAAACTGAAGAAAGTCATCCCAGCATCCAGACACTGCTCGAGCCACCTGCATCTCACACGCTGTGTTGCTGGGGCTCTGCTCCCACTCCACCTGCGGTCCAGCTGTGTGTTGATGTGCAGCTTGAGAAACAGCAGGTGGGGGTCCACATGGGAGAGCTGGAGTGAGCTCTGGGCTCCTGGTCCCCCTCGGCTGCAGTTGCTGCAGGTCTTGGGGGAGCTGAGTGGTAGGAAAATCACTCTTTCTCTGTCCCCTCTTCTGTTTCTTTCCATCTGTGGCTCTGCCTTTTGAATAAATAAAATACACAAGTAAAACATTAAAATCCAAAGAAATGGAAAAAAAGGAGAAAGCAACCACAGTAATTCCAATGTATGGACCTTACATGGGTTGTGTCTTAAGTTGTGAAAGAAAAAAATCATGGTATTTGTAATACAATTAGAGGCATGAATACTGGTTGAATATATGATGTTATTAAAGATGCCACAAATGTGATAAGATATTGAGGTTATTTTAAAAATAACTCTGATGTTTTAGAGAAGCACACTGAAGGATTAGAGGATATGATGTATGATACCTGGGACACCTTTTACATTCTGTTAAGAGGAGCAGGCCAACAGACAGATGAAACAAGGTGTTTGAGTTGGTTGCTGCTAAAGCTGGCTGATGGGTTGAAGGAGAAATGTTATACTCTTCTGTTTATTTTATGCATGTTAGAAGTTTCCATGATAATGGATTAAGATAGATGATATTAGAAAATCAATGTAATCAGAGTGTAAATACAGACCGTAAAGAAAGACCAGCTGATGTAGTTAGTAACCAGCTGCCTGTTCATAAAGGAACATACGTATTAGCTGAGTAATCTGTTGGCCACCCTGTTAACATGAATCAGAGGCGACCCCAGTTCCTGAGGCTCTCTGGAGAAGACCTGGAGACTTCTTATAAACCTGGAAATAGACTAGCTTTTTCATCTAGCAATCTCACTACTAGGTATACATCCAAAATCCATGAACACATTGTATCAAAGACAAATCTGCACCTTGGAATAGCACTGCTCACAATAGCCAGAATATGGAATCACTCAAGCTGTCCATTATTGAACAGGTTAAAAAAATGTGATTTTGCGGGCTCAGTGTGGTAGCCTAGCTACCAAAGTCCTTGCCTTGTGTGTGCCGGGATCTCATATGGGCACCCGTTCTGATCCCAGTGGCCCTGCTTCCCATCCAGCTCCCTGCCTGTGCCTTGGGAGGGCAGTTGAGGATTGCCTAAAGCTTTGGGACCCTACACCCACACAGGAGACTGGAAGAGGTTCCTGGTTCCTGGCTTCAGATCGATGTAGCCCCGGCTGTTGCAGCAGCTTGGGGAATGAATCAATGGATAGAAGATCTTCTCTGTCTCTCTTCCTTTCTGTATATCTGACTTTCCAATAGAAATGAATGTATCTTTAAAAAAAAAGAAAAGAAAATGTGATTTTATGCATTTACACACACATACACACAATGGATAATAATTGTTAATAATAATAATTCAGCTGCAGCAAGAATGAAATTCTACTATTTGTATCAAAACAGATGCTAAGTGAAATAAGCCAGACACTGCATGTTCTTTCATGTGGGAGCCAAAATCTAAAAAGAAAACAAAAACAAAGCAGAAATGCCTGCTTGTATCACTGCTGCTGCAAATGTGATTTGGTGACACTGCTTTATATCTTTGTGAAACCAGTGGTTTAGAAAGGCTCTGCTATTACTATGGTTTAATGATCTTTGATTATTATAAAATTTACCATATGTGAGTGAAATGGACATCTTTTCTTTTGATTGTGGTTTTTAGCCCTTGCCTATATTCCCACTGAACTATGGTATTTTGCTTGATAAGCTCTTCTTATTTGAAGCATTAAGCCTTTGGGTATAATGTAGATTAAAAACATGCTATGTCAAAGATGAAAAATAAAAGAAAAAGGAGAAAGAAGTGAAGGGGGAAGAAGGAAGCAAGAAAGGCAGAGGAAAGCTTTGCATCTTTGAACTACACTGAATCTGTATTGAAGTCATGCTAATATTAGAATTGATTAGAACTGTATTGTGATAATTGTCATGCCCTTTCTGTGACCTTGAGAGCTTCATGCCTTAGTAAATTCATTCAAATAGAAAAAGACAAATAGGTTACCTCCTTTTGGGCAATGTACACATCTATGAGGATGGAGGCAACTAAACGCCTAGGAGCACGGATTTTACCAGGGTGAGCCTGACCAGGAATCCTGGCCCAAGGCTGTGTGCCTCTGCTCAGTGCTGCTCTCCAGCGGTGACACTGAGCAAAGCACTTCTTAGTCCAGAGGAAAGGGAGGCAATAATGCACAAAATAGCACCCTGTGTCTCATGTGGGACCAGGAAAAGGAGTGGTGCCTTGTGAACAGAACTGCGAGAGCGCTCTTTTCTGCCTCTCAGAAAAGTGTTTACCGAAGCCTGGGATTACACTTCCTTTATGTGTGCTATTGCTTCATGATGTGTGGGACTTTAACCTTGTCCTTCCGTGTGTGTGTGTGTGTGTGTGTGTGTGTGTGTGTGTGAAGCAACAACCACAAAAACATGCAGATACTGCAATGACTTTTTGGATGTGATTATTTTTAAGAAATCCATCCTCTGGTTTCTCCGTCCTCCAGATCTCAGTCCTGCGGGCAGGGCTGTTTTCACAGTCCCAGCAGAGTGAGCTCAGCACAGGAGGGGCGAACGGCAGTGATGTGCACAGCCCACCTCCCTAATGGGAGAGAGTGGTGGGTAAGGCTGCCTGCACTTCTTGTGTAAGGGTTCTTAATAGCTCAAGGTGATCACTGTCTTTCACCCATAGCCATTAGCCTCCCAGGAGCATCCCACCTCAGCCACCCTCCTGTGATGAACAGCCCCACCCTCACCCCATCAATTATGCTTTTGCTGAATGGGACATTTTGAAGTGCCCACCATTCAGTTCCTACAGTCTGATCCTCTATGTGCGGATCCGCAGTAAACTGTTCCACAGGAATGATAGAAACCAAAATGCCCCGATCTTTTCATCACAAAGAATTTTATTACATTACAGTTAGCCACTGGACTTTTGGTTTGACAGACTGCTTAGAATATACATTGTATCATAGTGTCAAAGCTGGTGCGAATATATCTATGAACTCCTGGGTCCCCACAAAGCTTTTAGGGACGACTGCCTTGATTGGAGTCATTGGCTTCAGGACAAGCTGTGATATTTGCCTAGTGTCCTAGATCATGGGAAATAAAAATGTACATTTTTGTACTGCCATTACACAGTTTTAATTCCAAAAAATTAAAGGTATCATGATAAAACACCAGAATAGGTCAAAATGCTAGCAAAATATTTGTATTTATGGAAGTGTTACTGTAGATTGGTGTTTTGCTAAGTGCTTTGCATACCTTAATGCCTGAGTACTCACATCCACCTACAATGCAGATAGCATTACTATATTCATTTTATAGTTTTAAGATGTTTAAAAAGAGAGTTTGAGTAACATGCCTGAAGTCAAGCAGGTACATGGAAAAGGTAGTGTGAAACCCATGCTGATGGATCAGGCAGTCAAGCTGTGAGGGAACTCAGATTAAGTTTGGTTAAATGTTAGTATGGTGACTCTCCTTCCCTAAATTGGGAGTTCTATCCCAGTGTGTTTTGGGAATTTTGGTTGTCTCCTGCTGAATGAGGTAATGCACACCACTCTAGAGACCCCTCAGCAGGGGAATGGTCCATGGTCACAGTCCATGCTCCCAACATACCAGGTTCTGTCGTAACCTCAGGGAGAGACACAGGCTTTCTGAAGATGCTACAACTCCATGCTTAGAACTATGTGTATAGTGCCTTTCCTCTAGTGATGGCCCATCCTGAATCCTGACCTAATATACACAGCACGTTGCTTGGATCAGGGTGAAGGTAAATTGAACCTACAGAAATGAACACCTATTGCTCTTTTCTTGGTGGACCTAACCTCGATTTCCAATCACCATGTTTCTCTCTGTACCTGAAAAACTTATAAAATTTTTTATTTTGTTTGTTTTCTTTTTATTTTGGATTTTGTGGTACAATTTCATATAGACTTGGATTGCCCTACCAAACTCCCACTCCCTGACAGATTTTCCCCATACTGCTACAATAAGTCCTTCATAAGGAGTTATAATTCCATTAGTCTCTTATTTAAGTGTTCCCCTGATATTGCTGGTACAGACAATGTCAGACAGTCCAGCATCCCATTGTCTACATATTTCCAACAGTTTCATTGAGATTCCATATTTTATTTGGAAGCAGGAATGTATGTTGCATTGTACCCCAATATCTGGATATGGTAGTCACCAGTACTCCATCACTATACAATTCCATAAATGAGAAGCCATGAGACAAGGTCAACAACTGATATGAATTAGAACAACAGCCATAACAACACAATAAATTACAGCACTGTAAAAGAACGTGCCACTAAGTAACCAACACATGGGTGACAAAAAGGAAACACAAAAGTCTCTTGAGAAAAATGATGCCACCGTGTAGTCCACGAGCCAGCAATGAATTCCACAAGAGAAAAGAAAGTATTTGGAAGAAATTAAACTAAAATTAAAAACATCAAAATACATGGGATGCAGAAAAAAAAAACCAGTATGGATCTGATTATTGAAGTTACACTGTCCATGATGGTTTCCTTACATTCGAGAGAATATATGGTGTTAGTTCTTTTGTGATTGACTCATTTCACTGAGCATAATGGTCTCTAGTTGGGACCATCTAATTGTAAATGGTGTAACTTCATTCTTCTTAATAACTGAATAATATTCCATGGAGTAGATATACTACAGTTTCTTTAGCCACTCTTCTTTGGACGCACATCTGGATTTTTTCCATGTCTTTGTTGGTGTGGATTGTGCTGCTGCAAATATAGGATTAGAGATTCCCTTCTCATATGCAGATTTCATTTCTGTTGGGTATGTTCCTAGGAGTGGGATAACTGGGTCATATGGCAGATTTATTTGCAATTCCCCAAGCACTCTTCATACTGATTTCCATAGTGATTGTACTAGCCTACACTCCCAACAGCAGTGAAGGAGGGTGTCTTTCTCCCCACATCCATGCCAGTAGGTGTTGTTACACTTAGAAAATCCTACCTTTTCTGTTTTATGTGCCTGACCAGGACTGCTCAAGTGTAAAAGTCTATAATACTACCGAACGAAACAATAAGAGCTCTTTTTCCTGTTTCTTTTTCCAGTTTGAAGAGAAATTCATGAAAACTCGAGAAGATCTGGAAAAGTTAAGAAAGGGTAAGAACAGCTATCTACTTGGATGACATGAGAGTACTGAGTAGAATGTATTAACACAAGAGTAAGTGTTGGTAGAAGCATTAAACACTGTTTTGTGTTTCCAGGGTGGTGATTGGGATGTGGAGAGGGAGAAGGTGATTACAACAGGGCTGGGATCCTTGAGTAGAACTGAAATTCAGAGTTTCAAGAGCCAGAATTCTTTGTTTCCCAAAGCAATCCTCTTTAAAGTATTGCCATTGCCCTGTCCTTGCTTTGTGATGCTTCCAGAACCAGGAATGGCTATCATGAGCTCAGAATCCCACACATTGCTCCCCACCCATGGACACTTGCTAGATAAGATGAGAAAAAAGTACCAGTTATTCTGAGTTGGTTTCTATTGCATATTTGACAAGGCAGTGAATGGGATTGAAAAGGAGGATGTGCTAACTTACCTGGAAATACAGGAGAGAGTGTGAGGAGGGAGAGGAAGAGTAAGGGCCAGCAGCTGAAGAGTCAAGAACACAGACTTGATTTGCACACACTGCCCACTGGTGCTATTTAAAGAGTGCATAGAGGGTCCCACATATTAGTTTCTCTTAGGCCTGGCATTGGTGTCACGGACACAGGCTTTGGGAATTACTTCTTCTAGGTGGCATATGACTACGCTTTTACAACTTCTTCCAAATCTACCCAAAGTGTTCATGAAGATAAATCAAGGGAAAATGGCAGAAATCTATAATATACGTAAAAGAAAAATGAAAGCACTAATTAAATATTATGAAAAAATTAAGGAGGATAGGTAAGGTAAAGGATGATAGAAAGCTAAAAGTTAATCGATGTTTTACATGAAATAGTACATATATTTTCTTGTTTCATTTCTTCAGTTATTACAATAAAAACACTTTCTTTTCTTAGAAAAATGGGATCCATAGATATTTAACTGTCTTCTTTCTTTTCTCCTTTCAAAAGATGGAGTGCTAATGTTCCAGCAAGCACCCATGGTTGAGATTGATGGGATGAAGCTGGTGCAGACCCGAGCCATTCTCAACTACATTGCCAGCAAACACAACCTCTATGGGAAAGACATAAAGGAGAGAGCCCTGTACGGTGTCTTTTCTGTTTCCACATTAACACATAGCACAGGGATGACATGGATCCTGCTTTGTGCCAACAGGACCATGGCAGCAGGATCAGAACAAGCAGAGTGGAGCTGTAAGCATGACCCGAGGGATGGCAGAATCATATGGACATGGGCAAAAGTGATCTTGGAGTGAATGCCAGTTGGTGGAATCATAAAATAGTGACGAATTAACAGATGCAGACTAGTAGCATAGGCTGGAAAACCCAGAGACGTTATGAAGTCAGAGGGTAGAGAGATGATGATTCCAGGGACTCAGGCCTTCCGAGCCTGGACTCCAGCCAACAGCACAGTACAGTGACAAAATGTTTACATATTCTGAGATGAAGGTCTTGGAGGTAAAGAATGCAAGAAGATGGTTGCAAACTCTGGGCATTTGAGGAATGATTCTGAACATAAGTTGCCAGAGTGATTGTTTGGGTAGATCAACTTCATAAGGGTTATTTGAAGCTAGTGCCCAAGTTGATGGAGCCATCTGATGCATTTTATAGAAAACTAAAGCTGCTATCTTAATTCAGTATGGGAGAAGCTTGGTGCAGGATTTTCCTTCCTATTTTGAAGAAACTGCATGGTCAAAAATAATATCTCGTACAGGAGTAGGGGTAATTCTTCAAAAATTAATTATGAAGTTACAAATTCAACTACTAGTGTGTATCCAAAAGAAGTACATAGCCTCAGTAATACTTGCATAAAGGTCTATAGCAACATTGCTCATATTATTCAGAAAGTGAGAATTCACCAAATGTTCATCAACACAGGAATGAATAACAAAGGAGTGCCATGGCTATACAATGGAAGGGTATTTGGCCATGAGCAGGGACGAAGTATTGATGAATGCTACAGTGTGCACGAATTTTGAAAGTTTTACATAATGCAAGAGAGAACAGAGAACAGAGAGAACAGACAAAGGAGTATGAAATACAACATTCAAGTTCATAGAGACAGAAAGCAGATAAGTGGCTGTTCAGGTCTGGAGACAGTGGGCAGGGGAAGGCCGCAATGAAAACATACATGTGCTTTTGGGTGAAGATGATAAAAATGTGCTGGAATTAGTGTAGATATTGGTAAAGACTGAAAGCATATTAAACAGTACTGAATAGAATGCAAACACTAAATTATTGGCAATCGTTGTGTGTGAATATATGACAACAAAGCTGTCACTTTATTAAGTATTGCAAAAACTAAATTAGGAAAAGAGAATAGTCTCCTGTCATATGTGCCTGTTGTAACTGTGTACAAATTTTCAGCACCTAAGGGCATAATTCAGGTGGGTTTTCAAGAAAAGCATTCAGGGTCTGGTGCGATAACCTAATGCCTGAACCTTTACTCTGCACATGTCCAGGATCCCAAATGGGTGCTCCACCTCCCTTCCAACTCCATACTTGTGGCCTGGGAAAGTAGTAGAGAATGACCCAAAGCCTTGAGAGACTGCACAAACATAGGAGATCTGCAGGAAATTCCTGGCTCCTGGCTTCAGACTGGCTCAGCTCTGACTGTTGGGGCCACTTGGGGAGTGAGTCAGTGGATGAAAGATTTTTTTCTCTCTGTCTCTATTTCTCTTGGTAAATCTGCCTTTCCAATAAAAAAATAAATGAATCATAAAAGGAGAAATGTATACAGGAATAGTTTCAGACATTATCATGTAAACACCATGTTTTATGGGAATTGAGAGAACTTTTAAATACGAGCATAACTCTGAGCTTGGAATGCATAACAGATGAGAGATGGAGAGGACCTGAGTGAGATGATGGTGGCAGGGACTCTTGTAAGCTGATGCAAGTAGCTGGCCTCAGCCACATGGACCATGCAACATTTATACACAGGATACAGGACAGCCCTATTTGTAACATAACTGGTCACATGCAACGATTCTTTCACCACTGTGGCTCTGAACAGGCTATTGATGTATTGTGTATCTATATTTGGTCATAGACAAAATAAACTCTAATCAATTGGAGAGGCAGAGTAGCAGGGACAAGAGAGACAGACAGGGCTCCCATCTACCGGATTCAATCCAGAATATAGAAAAAACTCTCAACTGGGGCTAAAGCTGGGAGCAGGCTTCCTACATAGTAACAGAAACTATCATCTACTCTCTCCCGGCAGCTGGATTAAGAGTGGGATCAAGAATTGAACCCAGGCACAATAATATGGGATTTGGTCATCGGAATCAGTCTTAGCCATTAGACCAAGTGCCTATGCCAATCAACATTTTACACAAGTATCTTCCCTGCAGGTGTTTTCAAGGAACACAAGCCTAAAAGCAAAAATCATAGCGCACTAACTGACATGTGAGAGGCACCCATTGCAGGGGAAATTCTTTACCTCTGCTGTTCCTGTTTTCAAACTACAAACTTAAGATGCAAGCACTTGACTGGTTGTTTTGTCTCTCAGGATTGACATGTATACAGAAGGCATGGCTGATTTGAATGAAATGATTATTATTTACCCATTTGGTTCACCTGGGGAAAAAGATGCAAACCTAGCACAGATCAAGGAAAAGGCCAAAATTCGCTACTTTCCTGCCTTTGAAAAGGTGAGTACAGTCTGCTCACTTTTGTGTCACTGAGAGTGTAGAGAATGTGTAGGTCCTAAGAGGATGCCTTGGCAGGTCGGGTCATAACAAAGTCATCATAGATTGGGTTTTTATTATTTATGATTTCCATGTTGCTGGAATATTTCAACAAATATCAAATATTACCCTTAAATTTCATTGTGGAAAATCTCATCCACCCAGAAAAAGTCAAATAAATATTTAGTAAGCACATGCATCCTACAACCTTTTAGCATAATTATCATCTTATTATTTATTCACAGTTGTCATATGCGTTCATCTCTCCATCTTTTTCTCCATCATGCGACTTTACTACTTTTTTCATGCACTCCAAGGTAGGGTGGGGATATCAGTGCAGTTTTCCCTTAGATTTCTCAGTTGCAAATTATGACACAGTTTATCTAAGGTGTCAGAGCCAGTGCTGCAAGAGATAATGAATTCAAGTTCAGCCAAGGTTACTTCAGATCCCAGACACAGGTTAGGGAAAGAGGAGATCATAGAATCTGAAATAGTCTCTTCATGGAAAAGAGAGCTGTGGTGAAGGAGAAGCCTCTGACGGAGGGATGCTGGAGAGAGGGCAGAGTGGAGAGCCGTGTTCTGAAATGCCATGGCTGCACTCTTCAGGGCAGGGACAGGTGGGAATATGGAGCCGTAGGAGCTAAGCTCTTGCCGTTGGGGGAAGATGTAAGGAAGGGTGAGTGGTGTGAATGCTACAGGGATATGGGAGTGGAAGTGACAGTGGAAGGCAAGGCTGGCTTTTCCCTGAGGAGTGAGCAGAGCTCCACCTGGTCCTCTCCCTCAGGAGCCAGGACCCTGGAGAAACATCTGCATCTCCACATCTTCCCAGAGAGGCAGCCAAGCTGGGAGGAGTAGGGCCCATCCTGACTGTGTCTCTGACCATGTTCTGATTCCTCTAATCACCAGGTGTTGAAGAGCCACGGACAAGACTACCTGGTTGGCAACAGGTTGAGTAAGGCTGACATTCTCCTGGTGGAGCTGCTCTATAACGTGGAAGAAATTGACCCCACCATCCTCACCAGCTTCCCTCTGTTACAGGTGATCTACCTCACAGCCCTCAGAGGGCAGGACATGCATTTCCACTCTTGGCATCTAATACTCTAGGCCTTCCCCCTTCACCCAGTGTCGCACATCCCAAAACTGTTTGCAGACACTGGTTCTGAGATACATCAAGGAAAGCTAGGTGAAAGTTAGCTTGTGAAGTCTGTTTCCCTCCCAACAGTGCACAGGACTCAGGGGTGAGCAGAACCCCTCTCTCAGCCCCCTCTTCCTCTGTGTTCTCTCTTCTTGATTTCCTTGTGATTCTCTTCATCCCAGGGGAGTCCAGGTCTTTCCACCCTGAGACCATCTGGGCAGGTCTCCTCCATGCCATTTGCTTTCCTCACCTTTGCCTCCAGCTATCAGACCTTGTGCTCCTCCTTGCACAGCTCTGCCCTTCCCTCTGCTCACACAACTCTTGCTGTCTCTCATTGCCGAAACTGCTTGTAACAAGCAAAGCTTTTTTATTTTTTCCTGATTGCTAACTACACTTTCCCATATCTTCACTTTATCTCAGTTGGGGATGTCTTAGTGTTGTCATCTGATACACAGTATTTTTCCTTGCTTTGTGGAAGAGTGACAGAGTGCAGGGTTGAAGCTTGAGTCAGGAGGCAGAGATGTTTGCAACTGATCAGAGCCCCAACACTATAAAATGTTCCCGAGCTGTTCGTTCCTCCCAATCATGTCCTCCTTGGGGTTCATTTCCCAGCCTCCAGGCTGGTGCTGATGGAGGGGACTCAGCTGGTCTAAGAGGGTTAAGACTTTCTTGGCTGTGCCTGTGGTGGGTACTTTTTGCTCTTCCCTGAGACTGTGATCTGTGCCCTGCAGAACCTCAAGACCAGAGTCAGCAGCCTCCCCACCGTGAAGAAGTTCCTGCAGCCTGGCAGCCAGAGGAAGCCACCTGTGAGTGAGAAAAGTGTTGAAGAAGGAAAGAAGATTTTCTTCTAAACAAAGCAGACCTGAACATCAAGTAACTGGACATCAATGTTCTGAAGTCTCTCAGAACTCAATTCTGATCCTGACCAACTTAGAGCCAACACTCTTTTCTAATTCATATATTATAGTGAGGCAATAAAGCTCTTTTGAGCACAATGTATTCAATGTCATTATTCATGGCATGAAATCAGATTGGTAATATCATCCTAACCTATTTTCTTGAAATTAAGAAAGTAAAAATAAAAGAAAGTCTTACGTGAGTTTTTTTTTTTTTTTTTGGACATAGAATTGCCTGGTAACATCTCTCTTATAATCTACAAAAAGGTGAACAGAGAAAAAGACTTTACATCGGACATTCTCAAAAATGCACAGCAAAATAACTAACACTCTACAACTAACATAATGAAACATCCCTAGTGAGCCACATTGTTTTGCTTAAAGAGTGGTTTTTTTTTTATTTCCTTTGCTCTATAGAGCTTCTCACTCTGCTCTTCACAGCTCTGTGGGGCATGGCCCGAGAGTCACTCTCAGTTCTCCCAGTGTCACTCAGGGCAGAGCTGCCCCTAAGTAGTCACTTTTTTGTTTTGGCCAATGGTTAATTTTTATTAAGTATACAAGAAAGTCATTTATACTATAAAATATTTTATTTTATTTTACTCTTGGCCATTGCTCATCTGGTTAGCAGATTCCTCTCCTCAGGGCCAGTTACTAAGTTGTGTCACCCACTGCTGTACAGGTCAATTTTACTGATTGTATTTGGCACTTGGTTCTTCTTTTGGGGTCACTTGTGCTGCTCCCTCCAGCGAGTTTTAATCTTGGGCTCTTGTGCTAGACTTATACCATGATCTCCAGGGTCCCGGCTCCTGGCTTACCACTTTCCACCCCCTGGGATCCTGTGCTGTGGCCTCATCATTGCTGCAGCCTCATCGTTGCTGCATAGCTGTCCTCCCATTCCTGGCTTGACAAGTGCCTGGGGGTTATGGAGATGCCAGCTGTCCTAAAATCACTGGGTTGTTGGTGGTGTTGTATTGCCAGAACCTGCTGACCGTTAGGTCTGAAGGCCACCTGGACCAATTTTGGGTGGATTTTATAGGATTCCAAATTGGTATCATTGTCTCTGTGAGCCCAGTGCACTGCACAGAGTCAGATGTGAATTCTCTCCCAGCTTAGTGCATGTGGCTATTGTTGTTTTTCAACCCCTCCCACCTTCCAGCCTTTTCTTCAGTGCACAAAACTGCCTGGTGCTTCATTGGTGGGGATCTGAGTCATGAAATCCACCTTGTTCCTGCACCCGCTTACTTGGGTTCTGCCACTTTGCTTCTGCTCATGGTCTAATCAAGCAAATCAGCAGAATGGGCAGTTCTATGTCTGGGTTCACCTCATGAGGTCCTGGTGAACTCTCCTTCCCACCTAGGTGCTGGTTGGGCTGCAATAATCAACCACCATAGGGATATCTGGTCTTTGCAACATTGTTCCACTGTCTCTGCTGCCTCCCCATATCCACCGGTCTCCAGGTGTCCCTCTGTTGTTGGCCTGTCCTCTCCCATTTCCTGGGATCATGGCCTCTCTGCTTCACCTTGGCTAATAATTTTCAGTCTGTTTAAACATGTGCTTATCCTATTCTGCCATATTGTTTCTCCCCACACACAGATTCTATAATGAACATTGAATGTAATGGATGTGGGTGCAAAGTCATTTCCTGGGGCATTTCATGGGCCAGCTGGCACGGGTGAGGAACAATTTCTCACTTTAGCAACAAACTGTGACCTTCATATGCTTCCCCTCGCCCCAGCAACTCTGGCTTTAGCACATGGATTTCTGTAGCATGACCTTCCCCACAGTAGGAGAGAGGGTGAGGAATAGGATAAGACACAGCATGACTACCTGCAGCATCCCTTCCAATTTCTCCTTTTACTTCTTTTTTTCCCCTCAAGATTTTGTATTTTATTTGGAGGGCAGAGTTACAGAGAGAGAAGGAGAGACACGGACAGAGAAGAGCTCTTCCATCCACTGGTTCACTCCCCAGATGGCCTCAATGGCTGGAGTTGGACCAGAGCTTGGGCAGGAGCTTCTTCCAGATCTGCCATGTGGGTGTAGGGGCCCAACAACTTGAGCCATCTTCCACTGATTTGCTGTGTTAGCCAAGAGCTAGAATAGAAGTGGAGTACCTGGGAGTTGAATTCCAGCATCTCAGGTGGAGACTTAGCTTATATAACTGCTATAGTGCCAGCCCCCATTCTCTTCTGTACTTGGAAGACAAGTGATTTTCTTTAAATACAAATGTGGATCTCATCATCTTTCTTTGTGCTCTTCAATGGGTCACTGTCCTCAGCAAAATAAAACCCCAAAGCCTCCTCACTTCCTCAACTCCTGCCCATGCCACCCTCTGACTTTCCCCCTGACCCTGTGCACATTGGCTCACCTGACCCAACCACTTCTTCCCACCTGTCTGTGCATACCTTCCTACTTCACTGTGTTTCTCATGCGGTCCTGAGGTCTCCTGTGTGCCCTCTACTGACTTCCTCTGGGAAAACTGAAAGCCACTGTCTGCTCCACTTTCCTGTCCTGTCCTGTGAACTGTGGATCCTGGCTGCTGTGTCCCCAGTGCTTCATCACAACTGGATCACAACTCTTTGTATTTGTTATAATTTTCCGTTGAAAGATGTTGAATCTATCTTATTTATTCTGTTGCTACCTTGGTCAGATTGTGCATGGGACTACTGGGACTAATGTCAAACAAAATGAAGACTATGCCTTCCAGAAGTCTAAGTCTATGCCATAAACTGGTGTCAGATATTTAATGTTAGGACTGGCACTGTAGAGCAGTAGGTTAAGCAATAAAACAACTCCAGCATCCTATTCAGTGCTGGTTCAGTTCCTGGCTGCTCCACTCCTGATCCTGCCCCTGCCTATAGCCTGGGAAAGCAGAGGAAGATGGCCAAAATCTTTGGGTCCCTATACCTGCATAAGAGACCTGGAAGTAGCTCCGGGCTTCTGGCTATAGATTTGCTCAGATTTGGCCATTGCACCCATTTGGAGAGTGAACCAGAGGATGGAAGATCTCTTTCTGTCCTCTCATTGCAACTCTGTATTTTCAGTAACAATAAATATTTTAAAAATATGATTTAAAAATAATGTAAGGAAAGACATGATAGCCGTCATTACAGCAGAGTGTCCCAGTCTGCATGACAACATGTGCTAAGGCCCACAGGTGTGGGAGCCAGATCTGAGTGAGGCAGAGAGGGAAGAGTATGCAATGAGAAGTCTCAAGATTAGTAATTGATCTACAGATTTCAGATAGGTAGTAATGTTAAAAACAAATAGTAAACATGCATGGAAACACTCTCAAGCTTCATTTGAGATACACGGATATCAAAATTTTTCTTGTTACTTATCTGAAATTTACATTAACTGGGGGTTTTGTGTTTTACTTCACAACCCAGTTCCAAAGTGCCTTCAGGTTTCTTGTTATAGACATCACCTCTGGGCCAACCCCACAGTGCAGCTTTGCGTTTACCATAGTCCTTGCATTTAATCCTTGACAAATCTCAGTCAAATTTATATAAAAAAAATCCTCATGGGGTTGCAGAAATAGTCAATTCTTTTTATGGGTTTTTGCTTACACTTTTGTCACCAACCTTGACAAGTAACATATTAACTAGTTGTTTTCTAACAGGAGGCTGACTTCAGCAATTTCCCTGTAGTTCAGTATGAAACGCTGAGTGGTTTTTCTCAACTGGACTCTTTTCCCTGTAATAAGGAAGAGTCATACAAATAGTTAGGTGACGCATGCACAGAGATGTGTTGCAAGATGTTGATGAAAGAGGATGCCAGTCTTTAAGGTCACATAATGATATTGTCCATCTTTCTACATTTCTTCACATCCCTCCTATTATATGCCAAAAGAAATAACTTAAAATGTGTCTCCAGTTCAATAGCAAATCTGGTTTATACTCACATTGTCCATAGTGTCCTTGGGTCATACTTCGAGCCCTGTATTTTTCAGTTTCTGTGGGACACATCTTCACAGAAATGTGAAAATAACCAATTAGAAAACTGGGGCATGTGACTTTAATGGAATGAGGAAAATTAATGACATAGGAATAAAAAAGAGCAGGTGGAACATATCGCTAGATATAAAGGGATGTTGGAAAGATTGGTTCTAATAGAGGAAAACAGTGTAAATGTCAGAAGCAGATTATAATTCAGTCTTTGCCATTAATTATCTAAGTGACAAGACTCTCTCGTATTCAGTCAATTCATGACAAAATTATAGAATGGATAAGAAAATTTGCTTTCACCCTCAGAATTACTAATTCTATGCACAGGGCAGTCTTTTTTTCCTGTGCATGTGGGGAGAGTTGTGTTGTCCTTTGTAAGACGTTAAGAGATTTCTGTGGCCTCTCACTACCTGATACAGTAACACTACTTCCTCCCCATAGCTAAACAAGGTAATGCTATTTTGACTATGAAATTATACTAGAACGGATTTGCAAAAAAAAAAAAAATTAGAGAGGTATGCTTGCAGTTAGAACTTGGGTGTATGCTGACTTACTCTCTAGCGTGGTGGTATAGTTTAAATTAAGTCTCTCAGAAAGGATATGTCCAGACCTTCCCTGTCATTGTGCCCTTAACTTGATTAGGGTCACGGCATATGTAATCAAGTTAAACGGAAGCCATACTTGATTAAGCAGGTCCTTACTTGATTGCTGGCATCTTTAAATGTAGAGGGATGTGGACGAAGATGACATACCCTGTGAAAATGGCCTTGGATGATGGATACAGATGTTAGAGTGACACTTCATCAACTGGAGAATGCCAAGGATGTCCAGCATAGCCACATACCAGGAAGAGAAAAGAAAGATGCTTCCCTAAAGCTTTCAGATAGAGTGTGATTCTGGGTGACATCTCACTTTCAGAGATACAGACTTTAAGACTTCAAATGCTAAGGAAATAATCTTTTGTCTTTTGCCATCAAGTATATGGTAATAATTATGATAGCCCTAAAACTA